TCTGTCTGTCTGTCTGTCTGTCTGTCTGTCTGTCTGTCTGTCTGTCTGTCTGTCTGTCTGTAGGTAGGTAGGTAGGTAGGTAGGTAGGTAGGTGTATGTATGTATGCCTAAAAACAAATACATAACTGCATGGGTATATATGCATATACATGTATTGATTATTCCTCCTCCTCCTCCTCCTGCTCCTCATCCTCCCGATCGGCGTCCGCTCCCTGCCTTCGGGACGGCCGCACTCCCTCCACGCCGGCGCCCTCCGCCCGACACGTGCGGCCGCAGCGGGGCCTCCGCGTCGTAGTGCTCCCGCGTGAACTTGGGCGCGACAGAGAACTTCTGGCCCTGGAGGCTTCGGGTCTGACGCAACGATGCAGTCAACTTCGGATGATGAGGAGGAGGATTCGCAGGCCTAGAGGTTGACACCAACACCAATATCGGCGGTGCCTCCACCGAGGGAAGAAGATTCCGATCTCGGTGATGGTGGTAATATTCTGGCTTCCAAGGTGACCGAAATACTACCACCAACACCGAAATCTAGGATCATCTGCCCCCTGTGGAGGCAAACCCCTGGCCCTGGAGGCTTCGGGTCTGACGCAACGATGCACCTAAGGACGTACAGTCGGGGCGTTGACCTAAGGAACCCTACATCAGGAACGGGGCCCCTTTTTCCATAGGTTAACCTTCGATTTCCCATCGAAAACCTGCGGAAAACAGAGGGCAAGCTGTGAAACAATTAAGGAACACGGAGCCCCTTTCAAACGAGAAGGGTTCCTTCTTCAGCGCCCCGACTGTACAGTCAACTTCGGAGGATGAGGAGGAGGAGGATAGCTGAGCCAGCTATAAGAACCGACAATCACCCCGCATAGCAAGGACGCATATGATAAGAAGGCAAGGGCCCTGGAAGGCCATGGCGACACTCTGCGAGCGGGGCGCGGCCAGCGAAGCCCGCCAAGGATGGGCCGAGAGGGAAGGATGCAATGGCAGCCTTGGAAAGTTGTTCATCCTTGCTATGCGGGCTGACTGCACTAAAGGACGCAAAGAATCTAAAACGTAGCGCGCCAAGGATACTCAAGGCACTCGGAACGCGCCAAGGATGCCCAAGACCGAGGGATGTCAGGGCGCCTGGCTTCAAAGGCTCATCCTAAACACGAATTTTGACTGTAGTGGGGCTCACCGGTAATTAAATGTCTGGGCCACTCGACGAGCTTCCTGGTCACAACATACCAGTGGCGAGCTGGGGTCAATGAGGTCACGTTGCCATGATTCAGCCTCCGCTCCTCTCTCATTCAATCATACAAACAGAATGATCCTCTTGCGAGCTTCCGCTTTGCATTTATTTTCGGAATCAACCTCCAATCCTTTACCCATCACCGATCCCCCTTGCCAATACACTCCTCTCCCCGCACCATGCCAATGCTCTGTCTACGACACCCGGTGTCAACCGCCATCACGTTGCTCTACCTGCCTTTCATTTTCTCTGCAGGTGCGGGGGCGCCTCGGCAATGTACATGATCGAGGCAAACAACATGATAATAATTACGAGAAAGAATACCTTGGCGGAAACCACGCGTTCGACAAAGGCAACTCACAAGAGCGGATGATTATATCATAGCTCATCGCATTCTTGTCGTACGAGAAGGAGCGGACTCAACATTCAGTACTGGTGATCTGGGTGATGTTGCTAAACAAAACATTGCTCCTTATCATCCTTGCCTGGCACTCTCTGGAAACGACACATGGAGATCCGTGTTGAGTACAAGGGCAACCTACCAACTAGACACTCTACCACAGGCAGTGCGGAATAGAGATGCAAGGAACCTGCAGCGCAAATACCGTATGCTCTCAATGATACGAAATCTGGGCTTGATGGTTGATGGGAGTAGCCACGCTCAAATAGAAACAAAAGACCGTGACAGTCCGAGCACAGAGTGCAGTGTGAGAAGCTCTGATGCATCACTGACCATTCTTTCGAGGCCATCCCAAACGGCCAACCGCGTCTTCTTCCCCCCCGATTCCCTCTCAGGCTCGCCAGAATGAAGAACGGCTGCCCGCTCTTGTACAGAACCTGGCGGCGCGTGTTCCATCTGCTTGCAAGGCTACAACCGCTCAGCGCCCAATATCGAGAGGTGTCCCGTCCTAGAAGAGTGCGTGCTCCTGGGAGCATGATTACTCAGCAGAGTGCTCTATGCGCCGAAATTTGTTGAAGCACCAATGGCAATATAACAATGGGCGGACATACGCGATGGCGATGTATTAGTTCCATTGTGCGTACGAAACCGCTTTTCGACGCACTAATGCAAGATTAAACGAGCGAAAACAAGTGATTAACCGCAGACCGGGGCGGTACAATCAGCTAACATCGTAACGTGAAGAAAGCTGAGACCGATCGAACGATCTGTTGAATGCTATACGCATACACAAGCAGCTCCCCGTGCAAGTACAAACGCCCCAAACCTAAACACCAAGCGGCATCACAAGGCACCAACTGGCATCCGAAACTTCCTACAAAAAAATACACGATGAACGGGGTTCGACATGGTGCCACGCACACAGCACCAAACAAACAGCACGCTTGACACGACAAAATTCGATACAACACCGCACAACACCATACGGGAAATGAGTTCGGCACAAGACCACACACAACACCGCACGAATACTCGACACATCATCACACAATACCATGCGGGCAACGGGTTCGAAATACGGCACCACACGAACACCAGGCGGGCCATGGGTTCGACGTGGCAGCGCTCAAACACTACGCATCACCGCACGTGCAAATGGCCCGACACCGCCCCTTTCGGGCACAACACAGGTAACGGTCTCAAAATACAACAGGGCAGCACACGGCACAGGACGGGCACCTGATTTCACGTAAAACCACCGAATCAACGAGTTGGATGCGGCGCCGCACGCGCAACAAAAACACACACACACACACACACACACACACACACACACACACGGGTACCGAGATCGACACGGCACCACACGAGCACGACATCAACAGCGGATTCGACATGACGCCACCTGATACCACATAGCCAACGGGCTGGCCAAACTACACCACAACACCAGAAACCTGAAATTCGACAAGGCACGGCACGGCACGGCATCATATGAGCACCAGGTTCAACATGTTTGTTGCAACAAATTCACCATCGCATCACACGCGCAATGGGTTCGACACTTGTTGCACCACATGGGCACCTCAAAACGCGACACGGTCAACGGGTCCGTCACGGCACCACACGGCCACCACACAACACACAAGCAACGGAATCGACATGACACCATCCATCACAGTACAAAACACGGCTTCGCCACGGTACCGCACTACGTCTCAAAAACAAGAAGTCGGCACGACACGACGCCGCACCACACGGGCAACGTGTTCGACACGGTATCACACGGGCACCACAATAGCAACGCAGGAGGACCCGAGTGATGGCGTGACTGCCACGCGGGCGTCAAACGCCAGTGCGCCACTAAGTGCCGCGCAGAGCCACCCAACGCCACTCGCCACCACTCAGCGCCGCTCGGCGCCGCTCCGCGCCACTCGACGCGAAAACGCCAAAGCGAAACCGAAACGAAACGCGCATGCGGGCAAATTTCTGGGCCCCTGGAGGGCGGAGCGGGCGAGGCCACTGCCCGCAAAGGCGGCCGGGCGTGTCCGGCGCCTACTCGTGAGGCCGGATCAAGAGCCTACTGAGGAGGCCGGGTTCCTCCTCCTCCTCCTCCTCCTCCTCCTCCTCCCTCCTCCTCCACCTCTCCTCCTCCCCCCGTCCTCCTTCCCCCTCCTCCTCCCACCTCCTCCCCCACCTCCCCTCCTCCTCCTCCTCCTCCCCCTCCTCCCCTCCTCCTCCTCCTCCTCCTCCTCCCCTCCTCCTCCTCCTCCTCCTCATCCCTCCCTCCTCGCCTCCTCCTCCTCCTCCCTCTCCTCCTCCTCCTCATCTCCTCCACCTCCTGCCTCCTCCTCCTCCTCCTCCTCCCCTCCCTCCTCCTCCTCCTCCTCCTCCTCCTCCCCTACCACCTCCTCCTCCCTCCCCTCCTCCTCCTCCTCCTCCTCCTCCTCCTCCTCCTCCTCCTCCTCCTCCCTCCTCCTCCTCGCACCTCCTCCTCCTCCTCCTCCTCCTCCTGCCTCCTCCTCCTCCACCTCCATCCTACTGCCTCCTCCTCTCCACCTCCTCCTCCTCCTCCTCCTCCTCCTCCTCCTCCTCCTCCTCCTACCACCTCCTCCCTCCTCCTCCTCCTCCTCCCCTCTCCTCCTCCCCCTCCTCCACCCCCTCCTCCTCCCCCTCTCCCCCTCCACCTCCTCCTCCACCTACCTCCCCCTCCTCCCCACCCTCCTCCTCCTCCTCCACCTCCTCCTCCTCCACCTCTACTCCTCCTCCTCCTCCCTCACAAGAGGAGGTGTCCACAGGAGCAGGAGGAGGACCAGGGCAGGCGCATGTCGGAGGCAGGCCCCTGCTGCGGGCAAGACCACCAAGGCCTCCGCGGGAGGGGCAGATGCGGGCGCCTTGCACTGAGCAAGGGCCTGCCAGCAAGAGGAGGAGCCAGAGGAGGAGAGCAAGAGGAGGAGCAGGAGGAGGACGAGGTGGAGGAGGAGGAGCAGGATGCAGGTGGAGGAGGACGAGGTGGAGGAGGTGGAGGACGAGGTGGAGGAGGACGAGGTGGAGAGGAGGAGGAGGAGGTGGAGGAGGTGGAGAGGAGGAGGAGGACGAGGTGGAGGAGGACGAGGTGGAGGAGGTGGAGGAGCAGGAGGAGGAGGATTGCAAAAAAGGAAGAATTGCAAAAAAAACCCTTCGTAGGAGGGTTTTTTGCAATCCTTCGTTCAAGGAGGGTTTTTTTGCAATCCTGGTTTTTTTTGCAATCCTTCGTAGGAAGATCATCGTGAGCGGCCAAGAGGGGGGTGTCCAAAAGGGGGGGGTGCAAATCGTGACCGGCGGCACGTGCGCGGCCCAGCGGGGGGGCCAGGGACGTAATGAAACAAGACGAGGCGCCATGAAATCAGGGGAAATATCATGGCCCCCAGCATGATGTCCACCCCCCCTAGTCATCACCCCCCTCTTGTACACCCCCGAGATCAGGAGAGTCGGCAACCCCGCGCCTTGGCGAACATCTTCATGCCGGGGTGGTGCCGCGCCTCCCCTCCGACCCACCAAGGGCCGCGGGCCCGGCGGCGTGGCGTCCCCACTCCTCCTGCTACTGCTGCTAATTCTGCTCCTGCTGCTCCTCCTGCTCCACCTGCTGCTCCTCCTCCTCCTCCTCCTCCTCCTCGTCCTCCTCCTTCGCGGGGGCGTCCGCGCATATATATATATATATATATATATATGTATATATGTATGTATGTATATATATATACATATGTGTGTGCATGCATGCATGCATGTATGCATGTATGCATGTATGCATGTATGCATGTATGCATGCATGCATGCATGCATGCATGCATGTATGTATATATGTATGTTTGTATGGATGTATGTATGGGTGTATGTGTATGTATGTATATGTATGTATATATGTATGTCAGTATGTATGTGTGTATGCATGCATGTGTGTATGTATGTATGTATGTATGTATGTATGTATGTATGTATGTATGTATGTATGGATGTGTGCATGCATGTATGTGTGTATGTGTATATATGTGCATGCAGATGTATACATGCATACGCATGCACACGTACAAACATACAATCACACACGCATGTACACATATAACCATACACATGTATACATATATTCACACTTACATACATACACACATACATATATATTTATATACATATATATACATGTTTACATGCATACATACATACACACGTACATACATACATATATACACATGCATGCATGCATGCATGCATACATACATACACATATGCATGCATACATGCATGCATGCATGCATACACACATGCATACATACAGACAGACAGACACACACATACATACATACATGCACATACATGCACATACATGCACATACATGCACATACATGCACATACATGCACATACATGCATACAGACATACATACATACACACATGCATACACATACACACATGTACACATAGATACATACAAACATGCATACATGCATACAGTCATATATACACTTGCATGCATGCATCTATGCAAACAAACACACATACACGTGTTCGTGCATACATGCGTACACCTACATACATGCATGCATACATGCATATCCAAACACACATATACATATTATATATATGTGTGTATACCACAACAACAAACAACTAGAACCACGCGCGCTTTGCGCGCGCTTAGATTATCCCCCCCATGTCTCCCCTGACGCTCCTCCACTCCGTACTCTCTCAAATCCGTTCAAACCACCCCTCTCCTCCCCTTTACTCCTCATCCCCCCTCTCCTGACCTCCGTTCACCCTCCCCTTTCCCCCTTTCCCCTCCCCCTCCTCCATACCTGGGAAGGCCAGAACTGGATCCTGCACCGCAGTCTTCTTCTTCCACTGACCGACAGACACCCCCTACGGGGCATTTAGGTTTACAATCAACACAGGTGCCAAAATAACCCACATCCCCCGATATTGTTTTTCAAGCAACGCCTGCAGGGAGCACACGACCACCTGTGTGGCTCGCAACATTCTTCGGCACGATCAGCCACGTGAGACGACGTCACACTGTTCGCCGAAATACTCTGGTGAAGGACCCAACCATATGAAATTGTGAGTACCGCAGTTGTGAGCCCCGCCTTCGGTGGAGCTCCCTATGGGGCCACGAAGCCGAGAGGGGTGCCGATATGGGCGGGGGGGGACGCATGCGAACCCTGCCACTGGGGCCTTCTGTGGAGCTCCCTCTGGGGCCACCCAGCGTGTGAGGGGGGTGCTGCAATGAGCGGGGGAGGGCGAACTGGGCTTCTTCGGGGCAGATGGTGGGCTCAAAAAGTTAGATGAAACACTGATGGGCTTGGCGGGTGTCGACTCGTGTTCGGTGGCAACTCATGGGAGCCTCCCATACCAACTTGTCAATTCTTGCGAATCGACGCTAGTCGACGCTAAATCGACACTAATCGACGCTAAATCGACGCTAATCGACGCTAATCGACGCTAAATCGGCGCTATCTCATCGACTCCCAGACGCTAATCGACGCTGAAGACAGACTTGCGAGGGTACACAAGGCTCCCATGATCTGCCGCCGAACTCGTGAGGCTCCACCTGAAGATCAGGGTTCCTAGACTTGGGGGCGCTGGACTGGGCCTCCCCGGGCTCGGGCGAGCCTGGGACCAGATCCATGCGGGCCAGGGCAGAAACCAAGGCCTGAGCCAGAAAGCTCAAAATCAGCTCTTGGCTGCTCCAGAAGGCAGCAGCCGAGCCTGGACCTCTGGCGCCTCAGAGTCAGGCCCGACCGGGGGCGTGGGCCCAGACCTGGTGGCTAGCAAGACGTGTTCCTGATGGTGCTGAGTGCAGGGGAACGAACAATGACATAAACATACAAACTCGGAGGCCCGCGCGGATTTCTCGGACTGGCGCCGGGGCCCCCTGGCGACGCCTCCGGCGCCGTCCCTGGCGCGCGCTCCGCGCGCCGGGGAGGGGGGTCCAGAGCGGATCCCAGAAATCCGCGCGGACCTCCGAGTTGTTACGTTTCTGTCATTGCTCGTTCCCCTAAGGAGGGCTTTGGAGGCCTGGAAATGGACACCAACACCAACACGGGGGGGGTGCCTCCACAGGGGGGAGACGATCCTAGCTTTCGGTGTTGGTGGTAATCTTTCGGCCGCCTTGGAAGCCAGGATATTACCACCATCACCGAAGTCGGGATCTTCTTCCCTCGGTGGAGGCACACGGCCGATCTTTGCGTTGGTGTCAGCCTTTCGGTTTGCGAGGAGGAGGAGGAGGAGGAGGAGGAGGAGGAGGAGGAGGAGGAGGGGGAGGAGGAGGAGGAGGAGGAGGAGGAGTGGAGGAGAGAGGAGGAGGAGGAGGCCGATCTTTGCGTTGGTGTCAACCTCTAGGCCTGCGAGGGCTGGCACCTCAAAAGCACGCGGGCACCGGAGGCAAACGGCAACGACTCTGGCCGTGCCCCGGCGCGACGGCGCCCGGAGACGAGGTTGCAGCCGCCGCGGCCGCTGTCGGGGAGCCCACGGCGACCAAGCACGCACGTGAACACGGGCCCCCCGGTCCACGAGGCCAGCCGCGTGATGCGAGCGTTCCAACGCGGACTCATGTGCGTGTACGCGGAGGAGGGAGGAGGAGAAGGAGGAGGAGTAGGAGGAGGAGGAGGGGGGGGAGGGGGGGGGGGGAGGGGGGGGAGGGGGGGGGGAGGGGCGGAGGAGGAGGAGAGAGAGGAGGTGAGGAGAAGGAGGAGGAGGAGGAGGAGGCGGGAGGAGGAGGAGAGGAGGAGAGGGAGGAAGGAGGAGAGGAGAGGAAAGGAGGGTAGGAGAGGAGGAGGAGGAGGAGGAGGAGAGAGGAGAGAGGAGGAGGATAGAGGAGGAGGAGGAGGGAGAGGAGGAGGAGGAGGAGGAGGGAGAGGAGGAGGAGGAGGAGGGGAGGATGAGGGAGGAGGACGAGGGGGAGCAGGCGCTCCGGAGCCGAGGCCGCGCCGGCCGGCGGCCCGCCCACGGAGAGCCCCCGCTCCGCAGGAGGGAGCGGACTGCCCTCCCCCGGCCGCCCGCGCCCGCCGCCTTTCCGCGCCTGGGTCGGCCCAGGGTCGAGGAACGCAGGAGGAGCGCATGCCGCCCCCCCCCCCCCCCCATTGGAACGCATGAGAAGCGCCCCCCGCCCCCTTCCCCCCGCCCCCCCCCCCCGCCCCCTGGGCCGCCCGCCCCCGCCGCCTTTCCGCGCCTGGGTCGGCCCAGGGTCCAGGAACGCAGGAGGCGCGCCCCCCGCCCCCCCCCCACATGGGGAGAGCTCCGGACAAGAGACCACCACCAGCCCTGTCCAGGCCTATCCTGGGCCCTGTTACCAGCCTCGAGCATATCCCTATCCCTAAGACTGACACGCCAGAAGGCGATGGCAATCTTAGGGGTTCGCCCTCAAAAAGTAAGGGAATCCCTGAGATTGGCATCGTGATGAGGAGGTGCCCAACATAGGGATAGGGATATGTTCCAGGCTGGTAACCCTGGGCTGGTGTGCAGGTCCCCCTGGCCTAATTAGGCCTGGAGGTCTGTGCACCAGCCCAGGTCCCAAGACGGACCTGGCCAGGGCTGGTGGCGGTGTGCTGTGGGCGTCCCTCTGACACACGAGGAACTTTAGACCAAGTGTACGGCACTGGCCCCGCTCACAGGGCGCCTGCACTCACGCACCACCGCCACGACTGCGAGACGCTGACATATACAGAGTGGGCGCGGCCGCAAGAAATCCTCGAAAGAAACCCAACCCCGAGAACCCGCGCGCGAGGTGCACCTCAGGGGAGACCTGGAGCACCCTGAACGCAGCGGCTCCCTCGACGGCTGCGGGAAGTCGCCGCGCAGCGCGAGGAGCGAAGAAGCCCAGGATGCCCTGACGAAAAGCAGATGGTTTCTTGAGATGCGCGCCCCCACTGCAACATCAAACGCTGTGGGGGCGGGGGTCGGCTTCCCGCTGCCCAGTCCAAGGTCGCGCTGCCCACGGCCACCGCCCCAGAGAATGGAGGAGGAGGGGGAGGAGGAGGAGGAGGAGGAGGAGGAGGAGGAGGAGGAGGAGGCGGAGGCGGAGGAGGCGGAGGAGGAGGAGGAGGAGGAGCCGTCCTGCGGCCCTGGCCACGGCGCGCGAAGAGTGACCCTGGCCCTCCGCCCCCCCTCTCCTCTCTCCCTTCCCATGCCACGTGGGCCCCCTCCCCGCGGCTCCTCTCCCCCCATCCGATCCGCGTCCTCCTCCCCGTCCCCTCTCCTCTCGAGCTGCTGCCCGAGGCGAGACTGCCGAGCGCACGACCAGGAAGGTGGTGCAGAGCACGTCGACTCCCGCAACAGAGCGTGATGCTGACGCCGAACAGCGTTCGCCAGACCCTCGAATAACCGATGCGAAGGATGCGAAAAAGATGTGGCGAGGGAGGGTCCTTTTCCTACTCCTTCTGCTCCGCCTCCTCCTCCCTATTCCCTCCCTCCTCCCTCCTCCCTCCATCCCTACCTCCTCCCTCCCTCGCCATCCTCCCTCTCTTATCCCCCTTCCCCTCCCTCTCCTCCT